ATGTGCTGCAAATTAAGGTCCTGTCTGTCTCTTACATTTGATGTCTCAAAACTCTTCTAGGATATTGTAAAGTGTAGTGTCCGTGTGTATTTTGTAGGCAAACACGGCAGGCAATTTGCACACAGCAATGTCCCGCAAACAGCCATGAGGTGAATGACCAATTTTATCTGGGGTGATTGTTGGTTAAGACAACGGGAGAGAGAAGCTCTCTTCTCTTTTGAAGTAGTGCCATGGGATCTTTAATGTCCAACAGGACAGGCCTCAGTTTAATGTCTCATTCGAAGGCTGGCACCTTCCACAATATAGGGCTCCCCCAGCACTGGATTGGGGTTTCAGCTTAGACTCTGAACTTGAACGACTGTGAACGTCTTAACGTGAGGCTTGAATTCACAACCTTCGGACTCAGAGGAGAGATGGTTAACGACAGAGCCAAGCTGTACACATGAAAAACAGAGAGAAAATGAAAGAAAAAGAGGGGAAGAGAGAGAGAGAGAGAGAGAGAGAAGGGATCAAACGTAATTTGAGAAGGAGCTGAGATCAGTCATAATAATATTAATAATAATAGTATTGATAAGGAGTCCTTCCTTTGCGATATCAAATAATAACAATCCTTGTATTTGATATAGCATCTTATCATGTCGTCGAGGTGTCTCAAAGCGCTTCACTGTAGAATGGATTAATTGTATATTTTGTGAGCAAAACGTGGCAGCCAATCGCGCACAGCAGTGTCCCACAAACAGTCGTCGATTGAGTGACCTTTTTTTCTTTCCCATAAAGCGGAATAGGGTCACTGGGAGGAATGCGCCACAGTGTATAGGAGTCCTGGGGCTCAGTGGTTAGAGCATTTATCTCGTAAGCGAGAGGACCTGGGTTCGATTCCCGGGCAGGGCGAAACGTTGGGCAAGTTTCCTTACTCCACACGTCTCTGTTCACCGAGCAGTAAGTAGGAGCCCAGTTATTAGTCAATTGGCGGATCCGGGGGTAATAATCCCTTCAAAATAAAAATAATAATTTAGCCACACCGCTTTGGGCAATTGGCTGCCGCGTTTCGATCACAAAATATGCGGTCAATCCACTTTACAATGTATTCTGTGAAGCGCTTTGAGACGTCTCGAAGACGTGATAAGCCGCTATGTTAAATGCAAGGATTATTATTATTATTATCTGACCAGGCTGTCACACTTCCATGTGAAGTGTTAATCCGGTGGAGACAACAGTGGTTAATATGGTGTCTCTTTCTCTCTGAGATTAGATGTGAACGAGCCAGCAAGTAGTCAACATTATTAGTGGGGATTTTCAAGCATCATCTTAAGACAAAACATTTGCTTAGAGTAAATTACTGGCTTCAGAGATCTATATCTTATGTGATACCACGTGGAAACACACCATTCAGCTCAACTGGTCCATGTCAGTGTTTATACTCCACATAAGGCTCCACCCCTCCTGTTCCTCTCTCCCACACCTCTCTCTTCTTACCTCCCTAAACAAAACGTGGTCACTCAATCCACCACTCTTTGTGGGACATTGCCGCGTTCCGCCCGCAAAATACACGTTCAGCAGTGAAACGCTTTGAGACGTCTCAACGACGGGATCAGGCACTATATCAAGTGCAGGGATTATTATTATGTATGCAGCAAATTTCTTCTTAAATACATGTTGTGTGAGTGTGTGTATATGGACCTAAAGCGCTCAGAGATGCTACCCATGAAAAGCGCTTTGAGATATCTCGACAACCTGATAAGTGGAGTCCTATAGTTCAGTGGTTAGAGCACTCGCTTTGCAAGTGAGACACCTGGGTTCAACTCCAGGCAGAGGGCGAAAGCTTGGGCAAGTCCTTACTCCACACGCCTGATGATAATCCCTCTAAAAAACAAAACAATAATAAATTGGTCATTTTCAATCCACAACTGTTTGTGAGACATTGCTGTGCGCAATTGGCTGCCGCGTTCGCCCACAAATATACAGTCAATTCACTTTACAGCATATTCTGTGAAGCGCTCTGAGACGTCTGGAAGACGTGAAAAGCGCTATATCAAATGCAAGGATTATTATCATTAATTGCAAGAATTATTATTATTTTTAAGTTGTTGCTGTATTTCTGTGTATGCAAGTCCAAAAGCGTATATGTATGTGTGGACCTTTCTGTGTGGTGTCGATTCTGTGTAATTATATTCAATAAATAAATTAATCATTTACTTCATATGTGGAGTCCTGGAGCTCAGTGGTTAAAGCATTCGCTTCACAAATGTGAGACCTGTGTTCGAGTCCTGGCAGGACAAAATGTTGGCAGTTTCCTTACTCCACACACCTGATAATAATCCCTCAAGTAAAAAAAATAATAATTTGGTCACTCAATCCACGACTGTTTGTGGGACACTGCTGTGCGCAATTGGCTGCTGCATTTCACCCACAAATATACAGTCAATTCACTTCACAGTCTATTCTGTGAAGCTCTTTGAGACGTCTCGAAGATGTGAAAAGGCGCTATATCCAATGCAAGGATTATTATACCTATTGTGAGACGTTGCTGTGTGCCAATCGGTTGCCGTGTTCACCCAAAAATGTCCTGCGCTTTACGGACGTACCTGGGAAGCACTGGAGATGTTTCAACGGTGTTGTATCAAATCTAAGTTTTACTGCTATTACTGCTATGCTCTTGTAGGCATTTGAAGGAAAACATTGAAGCTGTTTTGGGCACAGTAAGGTCCCGCACACAGCTGGTATAGTTTATCCAGGGGATTGTTGGCACAGACAGGACCTTGTTTGAAACAATAATATTAATAATCCTTGCATTTGACATAGCGCCTTCCACGTCATCGAGATGTAAAGTAGATTGGCTAGAGCGTATTTTGTGGACGAAGTGCGGCTGCCAGTTGGCACAGGAGTCCCACAAACAGCCGTGGAGTGAGTGACTACATTTTTTAGGTAACCCACACCCCACCCCCCACACATTCGGAGGACAGCATCTCCAATCAGGCAGCACTCCCCCCAGTAACGGCACTGAAGCTTCCATGTTGATAGTGAGCTCAAGTCTTGGTGTGTGTGTGTTTGTGTGTGTGTGTAGATGTGTGTGTGTAGATGTGTGTGTGTGAGGAGGGGGCGGTTGGGGGTCTAGGAACCGTAAACATCTGACCCAGAGGCGAGAGCGCTGCTGACTGAGCCAGGCAGCCACGCGTAGACTTGTAACTGGAGTGAATTATTTTGGAGACAAAGCTTAAGCTTCGGGAAAGGTTGGTTTGGCGTTGGTGCTAACGTGAACATGTTTCGCTTTTCCCATGTGATGGTATCCGTGACTGACTGCACTGACTGAGCTATGAGTCACAGCCTGTGACTCAGAGGCAGTGAAGATAGGCAGGGAGGAAGGGAAGCAGGCAGCCTGGGCTCCTCGTGTCTGAGTCAATCCATCACTGACTGCAGTGCGGTGGAGGCACAGACTTGCACATCTCCTGCAACTCCAGAGGTATGTTGCACAGATGGAGCGAGCGTCAAACATAATTGTGCATCTCTTAAAGGGGGCGATCACACTAAGGCAGGTACTTTCTACGACCTAAAATGATCATTTTCTACGGCTCTCTACGACCCAGAAGACGTCTTGGCGACGTGGTAAGGCGCCAAATCAAATACGTGTAAGGATAATAATGAATAATAACAATCCTTGCATTTGATACAGCGCCTTATCACATCGTCGAGACGTCTCAAAGCGCTTCACAGAATATACTGCAAAGTGTAGTGACTCGTGTATTTTATGGGCGAAAGGCGGCAGCCAATTGCGCACAGCATTGTCCCACAAACAGTCGTGGATTAAGTGACCACATTATTATTTACTTATTTAGTGAGCAAGTGAATGGGTGAGTGACTGAGTGTGTGAGTGAGTGTGTGAGGGAGTGACTGAGTGAGTGAGTGAGCGAGTGATTGAACGAGTGAAGGAGTGAGCGAGCGAGCGAGCGAGGATTTTTAAGTTATTTGATTTATATTGTTATTAATGATAATTATCCTTGTATTTGATATGATGCTTTGTTACACTGTTGATCAACGCGGCAGCCAATTGCGCCGTGGATTGAGTGACCCATTTTATTTGGGGAGATTGTTGGCCAGGACACCGAGAGAAACTCTCTTCTCGTTTCAAACAGCGCCGTATGCATAAGAGTATCCAAACCAGTCTGAGAGTTCCACGCAGTGGGGGTAACAAGGCCCTGACGTAATAATAATAAATAATATTAATAATCCTTCCGTTTGATATGGCGCCTTATCACGTCTTCTAGACATCCCAAAGTGCTTCACAGAATATACTATAAAATGTGGTGACTGTATATCTTGTGGGAAAAATGCAAATCACAGAATAGAATCGATCACCGATAAAAATCAATCATTCACTTTGTGGTTGTTTGTGGAACATTGCTGTGTGCAAATTGGTTGCCATGTTTGCCTACAAAACCAACTGTCTCTCAACCGTTTTAAGTAAAAATTTTCACAAGAAAATATCGTGTAGGTCTTTGAGGTATGTGGATGATGTGAAATGGCTCTATGTCAAATGCAAGGATTATAATTATTATTAATAATATAATCAATATTATTTTTAGTGTTACTAAAATAATTATCAATACTTATCAATATTATTTATTATTTTATATAAATTATATAATTATTATAAATAATTACACCTGTTTGTGGGCCACCTTTCGTCACTCAATCCACGACTGTTTGCGAGACGCTGCTGTGCGCAATTGGCTGCCGCGTTTCACCCACAAAATACACAGTTTTAATCCACTTTATATGTCCTGAGAAGCGCTTTGAGACATCGCAACGACATGATAGGGTGCTATATCAAATGCAAGGATTATTATAATAATTGTTAATTAAAAGCATGAGAATTGCTGGACAAAAGAGACCAAGGTCCATCCAATTTGCGTCCACCATCGTGGCAGTCACTTGCACATCATGTCCCAAACTATATACTGTATTATTTAACAATAATGATTAATGTCACTGTTCTTCTGCAGGTTCAGTGAGATTAGCACTATGACTGATGGGGACTATGATTACCTGATTAAGCTCCTCGCTCTCGGGGACTCGGGGGTGGGAAAGACCACCTTCCTGTACAGATACACAGACAACAAGTTCAACCCCAAGTTCATCACCACAGTGGGCATCGACTTCCGGGAAAAGCGACTGGTGAGTGCGCAACTCGACTCCGAGGCTCGGCCTAATCCACTGCAATCCACTCCCCCCACCCCACACACAGCAGGCAGCTAAACCGTGCGACCGACAGCAATAGTGACGAGCCAGGTTGTTTGCCCATCAAACCAGTCAGCCCGGTGCTCTCGCCTCTGAGTCAGAAGGTTGTGGGTTCAAGCCCCACATCAGAACATGGAATCACATGGTGTAAGATGACACTGTTGCATTGTCGGAGGTGCCGTCCTTCGGCTGAGACGTTAAACCGAGGCCCCGTCTGCCTGTTCAGGTGGACGTTAAAGATCCCATGGCGCTATTCGAAAAGAGAAAGGAGTTTCTCTCTCCCAGTGTCCTGGCCAACAATCCCGCAGAGAAAATTCAGTCATTCACCTTATGGTTGTTTGCGTGCAATTGGCTGCCGTGGTTTGCCCACAAAATACAGAGTCACTCCACTTTACAGTATATTCTGTGAAGCGCTTTGAGACGTCTCAAAGATGTAATAAGGCACTGTATCAAATGCAAAGATTAGTTTCAACCCCCAGCAATAATAGTTATGATAGTCATCTGAGCCAGGTGTCAGCCTGGCTCGGTCGGTGGCACTATCGCCTCTCAGCCAGAAGGTTGTCGGGTTCAAGCCCCTATATCGGGGTCTTTGAACAGGCAGTCTGTGTAGACACTCCAGTGCAGCACTGGGGGAAGCGATATATTGTTGGAGGTGCCGTGCTTCAGGCAGTGTGGGTACAGCCTTAACATAGTGTGCCATACACTGGCTAAATGAAATGCATTGGAAACTGGCTTAACGTACTGTAACAGACGCTGACTTAACTGACAGTGGGCAGTGACTTAATGCAAAGTGTCAGACACCGGCTTAATGTAGTGTCAACAGAGCATCGCTAACTCCAGTTTGTCCTCTCCTAGGTTTACCCAGTCAGAGGCTCCAACAATACAACCGGCAAAAACATCAAAGTCCACCTTCAACTATGGGACACAGCCGGGCAAGAGAGGTAATTGCTGGGCAGATTGGTGACTGGCCAGATGTCAGCACGGCTCAATTGGTAGCACTCTCGCCTCTGAGGCAAAGGGTTGTAGGGTTCAAGCCCCACACGTCAGGACATTGAGCTCCCAGTCTAGGCCGAAGCTCCAGGGCATAGGCGCAGTTGACGAGGTAGGTGTTAAGATAGGTTTTGAAGACGGATAGAGAGGAAGGTGAGGTGAGGTGTAGAGGGAGGTATAGGGCCATAGAAGAAATTCCACCTGGGTCTAGATTAAATCTACCGTCCTTCGGATGAGACGTTAAGCCGAGGTTCCATCTGCCTGTTAAGATGGATGTTAAAGATCCTATAGCACTATTTGAAAAGAGAAGCGAGTCTTTCCCGGAGTCCAGCCCAGACAATTTTTAAAAAAAGAATATGTATTTTCTAACTCCATGGCTATTTGTGGGTATAATCCAATAATAATCAAAATTGGCTGCCACAAAATATACCGTCAATCCACTTGACAGTATATCCTGTGAAGCGCTTTGAGAAGTCTTGACAACGTGATAAGGCATTACACCAATTACAAGGATTATTATTATTATCAATATTATTATTATAGTCTCAATTCAGAGCTCACAGTCTTGGCTGACACTTCAGTGCAGTGGGGGTGGGAGGGTGGGGTGGGGGAGTGGTTCTGCATTGCAGGGGGTGCTGTACTTTTACATGAGACATTCAACCAAGTACTCCTGTTTGCCTGTTCAGGTGGATGTTAACGATCCTCTGGCACTATTTAAAAAGAGTAGGGAGTTTCTCGCTCCCGGTTTCCTGGCCAACAATCCCCAGATAAAATTGATCATTCTCTTCATGGGTGTTTACGGGACATTGACGAACGTAAATTAGCTGTTACGTTCACCTACAAAACACAGTCACTACACTTTATAATAAACTCTGTGAAGACCTGCTCCGACATGAATGGCGCCGTATCAAATGTAACCATAATTATTGTTATGATTCAGAACGCTTCCTGTTAACCTCATTCCTGCCGTAAAGATGAAATGAAGATGAATGTGTTTACAACTCAGTGATTAAGTCTCAGCTACTGTGTCCAATTCTGGGCACCACACTGTAGGAAGGATTTCAGAGCCTTGGAGAGGGTTTAAGGAGACTTACTAGGATGGTACCATGGATGAAGAGACTTTATTAATAATAATAATCCTTGCATTGCTGATGACACCATCAGCATCCAAGGCTGCACTCTCCACCTCTCAAAGCCAGTCAGGAACCTCGGCGTTTTGTTCGACCCTGAGCTGTCCTTTCTCCCTCACATCCGCACCACAACTGGCACCGCCTTCCATCACCTCCGGAATATCGCCAGATTACGGCACTACCTCACCCCTCACGCTGCTGAAACCCTGGTTCACGCCTTTGTCACCTCAAGGCTGGACTATGGGAACTCTCTCCTCGCCGGCCTTCCCGGCACCTCCCTCCACACTGCAGGTCATTCAGAACTCTGCAGCTCGTGTACTGTCCCGCACCAGGCTTCGGGACCACATCACTCCCACCCTCGTCGCCTCCACTGGCTCCCCATCCCCCAGAGGATTGATTTCAAGATCCTCATCCTCACCTACAAGGCCATTCACGGCCTTGCTCCCTCCTACCTCTCCAACCTACTATCCCCTACCTACCTGCCCGTACCCTCCGTTCCTCTGGCTCCGGTCTGCTCCACGTCCCCCGCCCCAACCGCCCTACTATCGGTGGTCGGGACTTCAGCCTCTCAGCCCCAGGCTCTGGAACTCCATCCCCCAGTGCCTTCGCCTTGCTTCCTCCCTTTCCTCCTTCAAGGCCGGTCTCAAAAACCTTTCTCTTTGACCGTGCCTTCAGCTCCCCTCTCGACTCTCTACCCCTCCTTGCTCCCTCCCTTCCCTCCCCTCACCCTGACCATTTCCCCCTTGTCGGTCATGACCCAACTGTGCAGCGCCTTGGGACGTCCTCCTGACGTGAAAGGCGCTCTATAAATGGAATCTTGTTGTTGTTGTTGTTGTTGTTGCATTTGATATAGCGCTTTTCATGTCTTCCAGACGTCCCAAAGCGCTTCACAGAATATACTGTAAAGTGAATTGACGGTATATTTGTGGGCGAACGCGGCAGCCAATTGCGCACAGCAATGTCCCACAAACAGTCGTGGATTGAAAATGACCAATTTATTATTGTTTTTGGTTTTGGAGGGATTATTATTAGGCTCTGTGTGGAGTAAGGAAACTTGCCCAAGGTTTCGCCCTCTGCCTGGAATTGAACTCAGGTCTCTCTCTTGCAAAGCGAGTGCTCTAACCACTGAGCTAGAGACTAGAAAAGCAAGAATTGTTCTCCTTAGAGCAGAGAAGGTTAAGAGGAGATTTAATAGAGGTGTTCAAAATTATGATTGGTTTTGATAAGAGGAAATCAGGAGAAACAGTTTCCTCTGGTGGGTTAGTAAGCGATGGACCCAGATTTAGGATAATTCTGACATAACCAGAGGGGAAGGGGAGAAGAATTCTTTTACATTCAGTATTTTTCGAGTTGTTACGGTCTGGAATGCACTGTCTGAAAAGGTGGTGGAAACAGATTCAATAATAATAGCTTTCAAAAGGGAATCGGAAAACTACTTGAAAAAAATTTTGCAGGGTTAATGGAGTAAGAGCGGGTGATGGGACTAGTTGTGTCGCTCTTTCAAAGAGCCAGCACAGGTACGATGGGCTGAATGGCCTCCTTCTGTGTTGTAGGATTCTATGATTCTAGAAAAAAAGCAAAACACAAATAATGTAATTGTATTTATCTCCCGGCGCTCTGAGTCCTGCCAATATTTGTTTTCTTATTTTAAAACACCTAATTAGACCCCTCATTAATGTTATTATATGTACAATTGCAATCTGATTGCTCATTTATGGCCCATGAGAAGGAAATGGGCTTATTTTACAACATAATACAAATTTGCAATACTGTATATTCACTGGAACAGAGAAGGCTGTTAGGAGACCTGGTGCATATATATAATGATGAGGGATTTGGATAGAGGAGGAGGGGAAATTATTTCTCCTGGTCGGTGTGTCAGTGACTTGAGATAATTAGCAAAAGGAGCAATGAGTTTTTTTTAGAAAAACAGTTATTAGGAAGCAGTGGTCGAGGGAGAGTCCATATTAATTTTCAAGAGAGAACTAGAGAGATATCTAAAGTCCAGTAGCGAAAGACGTAGAGCACTCACAGTTAGAGCACTCGCTTCGCAAGTGAGAGGACCAGGGTTCGATACCCAGAAGGGGCGAAACCTTTGGCAACAACAACAACAAAATTGCATTTGTGAAGATGTCCCAGAGTCAGAGTTACAGACCCGAGCTGTAAGTTTTCTTACTCCACACTCCTCTGTTTACCTAACAGTAAGTAGGAACCCAGTTGTTAGTCGATTGGCAGATCGCTTTCCTGGGCAAAATTTGTGGAACTCTGCTGTGCGCAATTGGCTGCTGCGTTTCACCCATAAAATGTGCACTTTACAATATATCCTGTGAAGAGCTTTGAGACATCTCAACGAGGTGATAAGGCACGATAAATGCGAGGATTATTATTATATTACCAACTTATGCTTAATACTTCTGGGAAATAGGTGAGCAGAGGGCATCCCTCTGGGGTAGGTGGCGGACAGAGAAAGAGACAGAGAGAGAGAGAGAGAGTGAGTGAGCCCTGCATTCCAGACACAAGGAGATTTCCAGGATTCTCGGTCTGGTTTGGAGACTCTTAAACTTGCGTGATGTGTTTCTGACCAAATGCATCCTTGACTTGCATTTATATAGTGTCCCTCAAGCAGGATAGCGTCTCAGAGTGCTTCACAGTAACGGAGCCTAACCAGGAGTCAGGGGTGGGGACCGTAAGCATGGTCGAAGAGAAAAGCCTTCAGGCACGTTTTGGAGATTGCAGGGGGCTAGGCAGAGGGTTTGAGGAAGAGTGTTCCAGAGCTTCGGAACGTAGAGGCTGAAACAGCGACAGCGAATGGAGGGCACGAGGGACAAGCAGGAGGCCGGAGCTCGCCAAGAGGAGGCCAGGAGTCGTGGAGTGGGGAGTGAGCAGGTCGGAGAGACAGGGAGATGTTTGAAGACGAGTGTGAGGATCTTGAAATAGATCTGTTCGGTGATTGGGAGCCAGTGGAGACTCAGATGTACAAACCTCAGTGTTGATTAATCCTAGTGTTAACGTCACTCCTGCAGGTTCCGCAGTCTGACCACAGCTTTTTTCCGCGACGCCATGGGCTTCCTACTGATCTTCGATCTGACAAGTCAGCAGAGTTTCCTGAACGTGAGGAACTGGATGAGTAAGTGACCGCAGTCATCTCTTCCCCAACACCTGCTCATCCCTCGCCCCACTGCTCCACCGTCAGCGGCCTTGTTTTCAGCCACTACACCCTCTCATTTCAACTTCTCAGGCGCTGTATCAAATATACCTATTATTATTTCAACAGGTGCTGTTAAGACACAAGTTCATTTAATAATCATAACCCTTGCGTTTGATAAGCGCCTTAATTGCATCGTCGAGACGTCTGAAAGCGCTTCACAGGATTTTGCTATAAAGTGGAACTTTGTGCGGGTAATAAGTCCTCAAAAAAAAACGTGGTCACTCAATCAACACTCATTTGTGGGTCGCTGCTGTGTGCAATTGGCTGCCACGTTTCGCCCAGAAAGTACACAGTCACTTCACTTTACAATATATTCTGTGAAGCACTTTGAGACGTCTCAGCGACTTCAACAGGCACGATATCAAGAGCAAGAATTATTATTATTATTACGAATGATTATGTGGATCCTTCCCACAGGTAAACTCTGGTTTAACTATCTCTCAAGAGCAGAGAGAAAGACTTTGTGCTCAAGTCTCCGAGAATGGCTTCATTCCCAAGACATAACTGATGCACATAATGGAATGGAACAAGGAAGCGTGGCCCTTTAACAAAACCTTGGTGCAATTAAAGGAGAAAATTCACTCTCTACAGCGTGCAGAGCAGTGATTAGATAATTGGGATGTTTTCCCTCTGCCTGCATTGCGACTGCGAATCATTTAACTTGGTGCTCTCGGCTCTTGTGGTAGGACTCAAGAATAGGCACATACTGATTACCATTTATCCACATTCCCATCTATCCACACCCGCAATTTATTGTTGTGCGTCAGCCTGACTCAGTCAGTCGCACTTACACCTCTGGGCCAAAAAATTTTGACTTTGAGCTCCACTTTGTGGACTTTGAGCTCGCTGTCTAGGCTGATACCCCATTACAGTGCTGGGGGAACATAAGAACAGGAGTAGGTCATTCAGCCTCTCGAGCCTGTTCCACCATTCTATCAGATCATGGTGGATCAGCACCTCAATTCCAATTACCCGCCTTTGCCCCCATATCCCTTGATACCGTTACTTGACAAAAATCATTCCACCTCAGTCTTGAAAAATCGAACGGATCAAATGGGGCAATGGGGTAGAACTGCATTGCCAGTGGTGCTGTTGTTTGTACCAACAACTTGCATTTATATTGTGCCCCTCACCCAGGGTAGCATTCCAGAGCGCTTGACAGTGGCAGAGCACGATATCGAGCTGGGAGGAGGTGACCATAGGCACGGTCAAAGAGGAAGGTCTTCAGGTGTGACCTGAAAATGGGGAAAGAAGGGGCAAGGCAGAGGGGCAAGTGTTCCAGAGTTTCGGGACATAGTGGCTGAAAGCACAGCCGCCGATGGCGGAACAGAGAGTACGAGGGACATGCAGGAAACCGAGGCCAGTCGAGCGGAGGCAACGGGTTGTGGGTTGGGGGGGGGGGGTGGTAAGCAGGTTGGAGAGATGGTTAGGTGTTGTAGATGAAGGGTTATGAAGACGAGTGGGAGGATGTTGTAATTGATCCATTTGGTGGTCAGTGGAGCCCGTGGAGCCTGGCAAGAACAACAACAACTTGCATTTGTACAGCGCCCTTCACGCTTGATAGTGAGAGTCCCGGAGCGCTGAAACCAGAGGGAGTTTATATGAAAAGACGCTTTCAAGTTTACTGTCAAGTGTAGTGACTGTGTGCTTTGTTGGTGAAACCCCAATCTTTTGGTCAATTGTTATTATTCACTTTCCATTGTAAGATGGTTTCCCTATACATGGCGGGCAGGCAGTTGGGGTGGAGGGGGGGAGTGTGGGTGGGGTGCGGGAGGAGGAAGTACTGGTGTGATAATAATAAATAATAATAATCCTTGCATTTGATATAGCGCTTTTCACGTCGGGAGGACGTCCCAAAGCGCTTCACAGAACGTACTGCAAAGTGAATTGACTGTATATTTGTGGGCGAACGCGGCAGCCAATTGCGCACAGCAATGTCCCACAAACAGTCGTAGATTGAAAATGACCAATTTATTATTGTTTTTGGTTTTTGAAGGGATTATTATTAGGCTCTGTGTGGATGCAGATGGGGATGCAGAGCCACTGGCTTTACAGTAATTACGTCCTCTCCTCTGACATTAAATGTGAGACGCCCATGAATGCGAGAGCAATCCGCAAAAATCTGCCTGGATGCAACTTCCCCACCCAACTCAGCCAAACTGGCCCCCAAGGCAACAGGCGGAGAGAGAGAGAGAGACCTGCTGTGGTGCAGAGGGATAATTACAACACCTGCCATGGTCATAAATAAACTGGTGACAGGCTTGAGGGGCTGAACCAGTTAGCTGTGTGGAGTGCTGTTTGTTACTCGATTGGGGGGTTCGTTTCCCAGAGATAATAATTCCCCCTTCAGAACGATAAAATAATAATTTGGTCACTCAATCCACGACTGTTTGTGGGACGATTGGCTGCCGCGTTTCGCCCGCAAAATACAGTCAATCCACTTTACGGTGTGTTCTAGAAGCGCTCTGAGACGTCTCGACGACGTGATAAGGCGCTATATCAAATGCAAGGATTATTATAATTATTTGATATCACGACGGGAGGACGCCTCAAAGCGGGGTTTACTGTTGAGTGTAGTGACTGTGTGTTTAGCTGGCGAAAGTACACGCATTCGTTACCTCAAAAGTTCGACTACGGAAACTCCCTCCTTGTCAGTCTCCCCAACTCTTCCCTCCACAGGCTGCAGATCATCCAGAACTCCGCAGCTCGTGTCCTCTCCCGTACCAGGGTCCATGACCCCATCACCTCCACCCTCTCCCGGCTCCACTGGCTCCCCATCCCTCAGAGGATAGAATGCAAAATCCTCATCCGCACTTTCAAGGCCTTGCCCCCTCCTACATCTCTGACCTGCTGACCCCCTATCAACCTGTCCGCTCCCATCGCTCAGCAGGCTCCGGGCTGCTCCTTGTCTTCTGCCCAACCTGCCCTACCGGATTTTCAGCCACTCTGCCCCCACTCTTTGGAACTCCATCCCAGTCCCTTCACCTCGCTTCTGTCCTTGCCCCTTCAAGGCACGACTCAAGACTTTCCTTTTCGACCACCCTCCTGCCCCCTCTACCCTCCCTCATCCCAACCCTGCACCTCCCCCCACGCTCGGGTCCTGATACCTGACAGTTCAGTGCCTTGGGACGTCCTCCCGACGTGAAAGGCTCTTTGTGGTTGTTGTTGAAAGTGAAACTGCCAATCTTCCAACTGCTATTGTTCGTTTTCCAAAGAAGACGATTCCCCTCCACATGCCGGGCGGAGAGTAGAGATGTTGGCAATCTGGTTATAATAACGAATAGAAAGAATGGGGAAACTCATCTTCCCTTTCACTGTGACCTTCCTTGGTGTTGGCTGCCTCAACTTCTTCCTGTCTAATCTGATCAGGTGCCAGTCCCGGCTCATTCGCTCAACACTCTCGCCTCCGAGTCAGGAGCCGGTGGGTTCGAGCCCCACATCAGGCCTTTGGGCCAACATGGTCAAGGAGATCTTCCTCTTCGACCAGTAACCTTACAGTAATCTCCTCCCTCCCACCGGCTGCGGAGTCAGGCTCCGCCACTGATAAGCTCTCCACTTGTAGGGTTGACAGGAGCTGTGCAAGAGAAACCCATATCGCCACCAATTACATCTCCAAATATGGAGTGAGGAATCCCGAAAGATCTCACGACATGTAGTTGCTCCCAAATCATTTGAGGATGCCACCTCCTGGCCACAGAGGCTCATGTCAGTCCTTCTCTCTTGTCTCTCTTGTCTGGGGTTTTGTGATGAGATTGACTGGATCCAGAGGTTGATGCAGACCTGCTAAAGGGGGGAATTATCACTGTCCTTACCTAGGGGACCGAGGTTTCCACTGATAGCCAGCAAGGCAAAGGCAGAGGGTCTTTGCAGACATGCACATAGGGTTGTTAGGAACAGCTGCAAAATACACAGTCGCTACACTTCACAGTAAAAATCCCGTGAAGCGTTTAGGGATTCGATTGAAGCATTTTGCGAACGTAAGGATCATTATCATTTCCCTGGGAGGCTGTACCCTGCGTGAGGGTTGCTATGTAAAATGCAAGTTGTTGTTGTTGTTGTTGTATAACCGTTAGTAAGACTGTTTTCCGTGCAGGTCAGCTACAAGCAAATGCTTATTGTGAAAACCCTGACATAGTCTTAATAGGAAACAAGGCGGATTTGGGTGACCAAAGGGAGGTGCAGGAGAAGGAAGCAAGAGAGCTCGCCGACAAATATGGGTGAGTAAGTTACTTATTATACCCCCAACCCCCATCCCCTCTCCCATCAGCCTCAGATATCCTGTCCTGGCTGAGCACCGGACTTAGAGCCTGAAATCTAATAATAACAATGGTCGTTTCATTTGATGCAGCGCCTTATCACATTGTTGACACGTCTCAAAGCGCTTCACAGAATAATAATAATAATAACCCTTGCATTTGATATAGCGCTTTTCACGTCGGGAGGACGTCCCAAAGCGCTTCACAGAATATACTGTAAAGTGAATTAACTGTATATTTGTGGGTGAACGCGGCAGCCAATTGCGCACAGCAGTGTCCCACAAACAGTCGTAGATTGAGTGATTTTTTTTGAAGGGGTCATAATCCCCAGAAAAGCGATCCACCAATCGACTAACAACCGGGTACCTGCTTACCGCTCGGTAAACAGGGGCGTGTGGAGCAAGGAAACTTGCCCAATGCTTTGCTCTGCCCAGGAATCAAACCCCTCTTGCGAGGTGCGCTGACACCTACGCTATGGGACTCCAATTATATGCAATAATAAACTTCTCCGCCCTTCCCTCTCTTTCTCTCTCTCTCTCCCCCTCTCTCCCCCCCCCCCCCCCCCGCAGGATTCCCTACTTTGAAACGAGTGCTGCCACAGGCAGTGAGATTGACAGCTCTGTTGTTGCGCTCCTGGACTTGATAATGAAACGCATGGACCAGTGTGTGGATAAGAGTCAGATTCCCGATTCAGTCAATGGCGGAGCGAGCAAAAAACTAGAGGACGAGACGCCAGATGAGAATAAATGCGCCTGTTAAAGAGAACCTAACTCCTCCCACCCCTCCCTCTCTGACCTCCCTCCCTCTCTCCCTCTCTCTCTCTTACCTCCCTCCCGCTCTCTTACCTCCCTCCTCTCTCTCTTAGCTCCCTCTCTCTTACAACTCTCCCTCTCTCTCGCTCCTACCTCCATCCCTCCCTCCCCCTCTCTCTTACATCCCTTCATCCCCCTCTCTTACCTCCCTCCTGTTCTCTCTCTTGCCTCCCTCCCTCTGTCTCTTACCTCCCTCCTTCCATTTCCTCCCCTCCCTCTCTCTCCTCCCTCTCTCCTCAGGCACTCTTGTCTCCATCTATCTCTCCTCCCTCCCTCCCTCCTTCCCTCCCTCCCTTTCTCTTTCCTCTCTCCACCCTCTCTCTTCCTTCCCTCTTTCTCCTCACTCTCTCTCTCCAACCTCACTCTCTCCTCTCCCTCTCTCTTTCTCGCTCCCTCCTTCGCTCCTTCCTTCCTTCCTTTCTTCCTTTCTTCCTTCTATTTTCCTTCCCCTCCCTCCACACCACTCTCCTCAGAGAGTTTATTTTCCTATCTCACGCCATTTGTTCTCTCGGTCTGTTTCCCAGATTGCCCTTGAGAATGACCGGATAAGTCCTGGGTGCCGGGGTTTGTGGGGGAGGTGGGTGGGGAGTGGGAGGGGGGAAGATTGGGGAGGTGTGTGGGGAGAGGGGAGGGGGGAGGAAACTCCCCTTAGTTCAACATGTTTCTGCAGACTCGCACTTCACCAAAATCACACCATTCGGACAATGAGATGCTTTCCCTCGGTCTCTTGGCTCCCTCCCATGGAGCTGAGCGCTGTGTTTAACCCAACTTGTCCTGTAGGTATTGACAGGTTAATCCTGCAGGGAAATTGGCCAAAGAACCAGAGGGGAGACGAGGAGAAATCTTTTTACCCAGAGAATCGTTACGATCTGGGATGCACTGCCTGAAAGGGTGGTGGAAGCAGATGCGTTGGTAGCTTTTCGAAAGGGAATTGGATATGTACTTGAAACATTTGTAAGACTATGGGGAAAGAGCGGGGGAGCGGGACTAGTTGGTAGCTCTTCTCAAAGAGCCAGCACAGGCCCGATGGGCCGAATGGCCTCCTTCTGTGCTGTAAGATTCTACGATTCTATGTGAAATAGGCCAATAAATCATGTGTGGCAAACACGCCGCCCCTCTCCCCAAAACATTCCAGTTGTCTGGTGGTCAAAGTGAATGGCACTCTAAATGAAGTGTTTGGTTCAGGAAAGAGATTTATGATGGAGATTGCACTTTTGGGGGGAAATTACCGTAGTTTATAAAGTAATTTCTCTCTCTCTATGTGAGGCATAATATGTTGGCACTTATATTATTTTGTTGATTCCCCCTGGGCTTCCATGTCTATTCTTATCATTCAAATGTTTGTGTTGCTAATGGTCTTCAATAAGGAGACAGCACACGAGGAAATGCGTGTGGGTGAGACCTTGTGACAGACTCAATGAGTGTGGAGCAGAGACTGTGATAGAGATTCAGTGAGTGTGGATAAATAACACCAAATCACATGTGTACAGCGCCTTTCACATCGGGAGGACGTCCCAAGGTGCCTGACGGTCAGGGATTTGGGCCCGAGCTGGGGGTTGGGATCAGGAGGGCAGGGAGGGTAGGTTGTAGGAGGGTGACTGAAGATGCCATCGAAGAGGAGGCTCTTGAGATGGGCCTTGAAAGAGGCAAGGGAGGGGGTGAAACAGAGTTCCAAAGGGTGGGGGCAGAGAGGCTGAAAGCCCGACCTCTGATGGTGGGGTGGGCCGGGCAGGGGACATGCATCAGGCCGGAGCCCGCAGGTGGAGGTAGCAGACAGGCGAAAGGATGGATCAGGGACCCTGTGATAGACTTAACAGATGTGATGTTGGTGCCAGCAGAAGTGGTGAGGCCAATCAGAAAGTCGCATACTCAAAAGAACCCCCCTCTTCCCCCGCGCCCCCAATTCAACGGTCTCACGAAGTTGGAGCCTAAATTGGGGGAGGTCCCTTTTGACATGAGGGGGAGGGGAGAAATATTTACGTTATGTTGCTAGATTTGAAATGTATTCCCGATATCTTTTTTTTTCTGTGCGCATGGGGAGCAAACCGTGGTAATTCACATCTTTGTGTTGAGTATTCTGTTGTGTGTGTAACACAATGCTGTGCCATCAATGAGAATTTGGACCAAATTTAGTCAACATTTCTCATACACATACATATACACACATACATTTACAGGCTACACAAACATACATATACAGACATTTATACACTCACATACACAGACATGCATATACACACATACAGACATACCCAGACATGTACACACACATAAACCCAAACACAGGGAATACATACATGCAACCAAATATGCACACACACACATACAGACAAACATATATACAGAGATATGTACACTCATTTAATAATACTTGCATTTTGCATATGCGCATACATACGTAAATGCACACACACATAGATATATACACACACACACACACACATACAACACACAAGGGTTTTGAACCATTTGTCTTAATTGCTTCGATCTGTAATATACGAAGAATGTCACCGAGAGAGAGAATGTAATGTTGTGCTTTTAACCGGACACATTTTTCCAAAGTTAAAAAAAAATAAAAAGATACATTTATACCAATGACCTGCTCGGATTCCGAATTTTAAAAGTGCACCAAATTAAGATAATCAACAATGGGGGGTGGTGGGGGGAGTGGGGTGAGGACGATTTGCTTTACGACCCTCCTCTTTGACGGCCGTGCCCTCGGTCAACTTCCTACCCCCACCCCCTCAATCCGCAGCTCAGGGCCAAATCCTTGACTGTCCAGTGCCTAAGCTTTCCAAAGCTTTCCATTCTGTTGTGGACTAATCCAAAACATTCCAGTTAATAATAATAATAATCCTTGCATTTGAGATAGCGCTTTCCACATCTTCGAGACGTCTCAAAGCGCTTCACAGAATACGCTGTAAAGCAAATTGACTGTATATTTGTGGGCGAAACACGGCAGCCAATTGCGCACAGCAGCGTCCCACCAATAGTTGTGGATGGAGTGACCAAGTTATTATTGTTAGTTTTTTTAGGGATTATTATCCCCAGAAAAGCGATCCGCCAATCAATTAGCAACTGGGTTCCTACTTGCTGCTGGGTAAACAGCGTGTGGAGTAAGGAAACTTGTCCCAAGGTTTCGCCCTGCCGGGAATCGAACCCAGGCCTCTCACTTGCAAAGCGAGGGCTCTAACCACTGAGCTACAGGACTCCACAGTTAATTGCTATCAGCATCTCCATTATTGTAGCGTTCGACCATCAGGATTGGTAGAAGGTGAACGAGATGAATCTTGGTCTTTTTACGCGCTGTCTCTCGGCTGCAGCTCATTAATTCCGCAGCAGTCTCGATCGGCAAACACACATCCAATTGAACTACCGAGGCCACAGCGTTTTATCTAGTCCTGGCCTGCAAGATGTTTTTTGCCTTGAAATTCTGAGGTGGCAAGAACTGTGTGTGGGGGGGGGGGGGGATTAATATTAATAATAATAATCCTTGCATTTTATATGGCGTCTTATTCATGTTGAGATGTCTCAAAGCGCTTCACAGGATACACTGTAAAGTGAGAGTGACTGCATTTTGTGGGCGAAACGCGACAGCCAATTTTGCACTCAGCAGTGTCATACAAACAGCCGAGGATTGAGCGACCCATTTTATTTGGGGGATTGTTGGCCAGGAAACCTTCTCTTTTCGAGTAGCGCCATGGGATCTTTAACATTCACCTGGAGGAGAATGGGACCTCGGTTTAAACGTTTCATTTTAAGGATAAAGAATTCAAGAAGAGATCTGAATTCTTTTAAAAACTGCAGGAAAAAAAAACGTCTTCTCGGATTTAAGGATTTCGCTTCCACCTTAAATTTCAAGACAAAACAATCTCACTTGGAATTTGAAGTTGCGTTGAGGGTGTTATGGTCAGCCGTGTGTCTGACTTGTACGGAAATCCATCACCAAACACAAATTCCCGGGTATTGGAATGGAGTAGGCACTCTCTCTCATCCTGCTTACCTAATTCCCAAGAGTATTAGGCATACTGGTACTAGACATACTGACTAAGGCTTGAGGACCCCAGACTTTGCAGTGGAGATAACTGCTGGAATCTCACCAGCTAAAACCTCATTGTTTGCTATTGAGAGGACTGTCTGATTTTGACAAGCGTTGACAGTGTGAGTCAATATACATTCTTCCTGATTCATTGCTTTTCAAGACATTGAAGGCAAAAGGGCAACATTTTCATGGATTGAGTGACCAAATTATTTATTTTTTTTGAAGGATTATTATCCCTGGAAAAGCAATCTGCCAATTGACAAGCAACTGGGTTCCTACTTACTGCTAGGTAAACAGAGTAAGGAAACTTGGCCAACGTTTCGCCCAACCAGAATCGAACCCGGGTCTCTCGCTTGCAATGCGAGGGCTCTAACCACTGAGCTACAGGTCTCCACAATCAGTGAATCTGTTTCCATTTTCACCTCAAACTCAGGAAGTCTGAACACACTGATGCTTGTGATGATAGTCTTGTAGGTTATAACAATAACATTCTAATAATTATTATAATTATAATACAATAGTAATTATAACAACACCATAATCATTATTATCATCACAATGATAAAATAATTACAAATAATCATTAACACTCATAATCATCATTTGGCTTTTTACGGAGGACGGCTCTTTTCCTCGACGTGTAGTGACTGTATTTTGTTTGCAAGCACGTCAGCCAATTTGCCCACAGTAGACAAAAGTCCCACAAACAGCTGTGAAGTGAGTGACCAATTTTATTCTGGCTGGTTGGTGTAGTTACTGGCAGGAGTCACTATTTGTGAGTTATTGTTACATATTTTGTGTTTCGGACACTGCTATTTCCAACTATGTTGAAGTCAATAGAACTCAGGGGGTGTGAGATGAACAAAAGTGCAATAAAAGAGATATGAGCTTTGAGAGTAGGGCGGGAGCGAGTTGAGGGACTCGGGGATGGAGTTCCAGAGAGCGGGGACAGAATGGTTGAAGAGTAACAGATCTAACAGGGACTTTAGGAGGAATGTATATGATACTGAGAAGGTGGAACTACGGTTGAAGTTATGGTCAAAGCAAAAATCATCAATATAGACTAGTTAGCCGGACATCAATGGTAGGGAAAATTCTTGAGTCCTTAATTAATTACTACACCAATCTCAAAAAGTTAGTTTGCAGGTGCAGCAGCAACTAAGAAGGTGAATGGCATGTTAGCGTTCATTGCAAAAGGTTTAGAGCACAAGAGTAGGGAAGTCTTGCTGCAACTGTATAGGGCCTTGGTGAGACCGCACCAAGAGTATTGTGTGCAGTTTTGGTCTCCTTATTTAAAAAAGGACTTACTTGCCTTAGAGGGAGTGCAGCGTAGATTCATTAGGTTAGTTCCTGGGATGAGGGGACTGATCTATGAGGATAAACTAGGGCTGCATTCTCTAGAGTACAGAAGAATTAGTGGAGATCTTATTGAAACATATAGGATTCTTAAAGAATCTATAACCAGGGGTCACAGTCTTAAAATTAAGGGTCAGCCTTCTAGAACAGAGTTGAGGAAACATTTCTTCACTCAGAGGGTAGTGAATTTATGGAATTCACTACCTCAGAAGGCTGTAGATGCTCAGTCCTTGAACATTTTCAAGACTGAGACTGATAGATTTTTTAAAAACAGACGGAATAGGGGATATGGGGATAGGGCAGGTAATTAGAGTTAGGTCAGAAGATCAGCCATGATCTTATCGAATGGCGGGGCACAGGCTCGAGGGGCCGAATGGCCTACTCCTGCTCCTAATTCTTATGTTCTTATGTGCTTATGTAATTAAGAGCAAACTTGATGCAAACATGAGGGAGAAGGGAATAATAATAAAATAAATCCTTGAGTTTGATATTGCGCCTTATCATGACATTCAGACGTCTGAAAGCAATTCACAGGACACACTGTAAAATGGATTGACTGGGTATTTTGTAGATGAAACACGACAGCCAGGTGTACACTGCAGCATCTCACAAACAGCCATGAAAGTGAGTAACCAATTTTATTTGAGGGATTGTTGGCCAGGGCATTGGGAGAGAGAAACTCCCTTTTATTTTCGAATAGCGCCATGGGAACTTTAACATCCACCTGAACAGTCAGACGGGACCTCAGTTTAACGTCTCATCCAAAAAACGGCAACTCTGTCATTGCAACATCTACAATGGAGTGTCAGCTTAAACTAATAATAATTATTATTATTAAGTGATTCCAAGTCCCGACGTGGGGCTTGAAGAGAAGAGAATAAGTGAGGGGATGGAGAATATAAACACCGGCATGGACTAGTTGGGTTGAATGGCCTGTTTCCCCGCTGCATCACTGTAAGTAACTCTATGTATGCAACCATCAGATGCATTGTGGCAGTCAGTCTCTTCCAACAACAACGACGACAACAACAAGATTGCATTTATAGAGGTGCCTTTCACATCGGAAGGACGTCGCAAGGCGCTGTTCCACACTGCTGTCTGTCCTTGCTCCCTGACCCCATCCCACCACCAGTTATATCTCGGTAGAAATGGAATCTGGTTCGATAGCCTGGCAGGTCCCGACCGCTGGTTTTGGACAGGTCACAGCAGACGCTCTCTGGCTGCTGAGGGCAGTCCGTGGCCTTAAGTGAGCGGGTCGAGTGTAGGAGAACTGCTGGGGAACGGGAGGAGCACAAACAATGTCCTGTCCGACGGAGCAGTCGTCCGATGAGTCCTCCTGCCTCTGGCTGGACTTCACCTCGTGCACTTGTTGTTTCAATACTTTATTCTGTTTTGAACACAAAAAAAAGTTACCCTTTTTAAAAAAAGACACCTTCATCCATTAAACTCTTCCCCACCCATCCCACCACCCCCACCAGCTGTGTATGGTCAAATCTGTTGTCTCCCATTGTTCGTTGCAGTGTGATATTAACAGAGGTCCCACTGTGAGCCTATCTGACCACATATCCCTTTAATACTAACAAATAATCCCTGCATTTGTTACACCGCCTCATCATGTCTTCGAGACGTCTCAAAGCGCTTCACAGAATATTCTGTAAAGTGAATTGACTGTATATTTTGTGGGCGAAACGTGGCAGCCAATTGCGCACAGCAGCGTCCCACAATCAGCTGTGGATTGAGTGACCAAATTTTTTTTAAGGAATTATTATCCCCAGAAATGTGAACCGCCAATCGTCTAACAACCGGGTTCCTACTTACTGCTGGGCAAACGGAGGCATGTGGTGTAAGGAAACTTGCTCAAGGTTTCGCTCTGCCGGGGAATCGAACCCAAGGCTCTCGCTTGCGAGGCGAGTGCTCTAACCACTGAGCTACAGAACTCCATAATACCTCATGGAGATGTCACCACCATCAGTGGAGCAGAGTGTCTTCAGCAAACAAGGAGACACAAAAATAAAATCCCCAACATGGGATTTGAACCCCAAACCTCCCGACTCAGAGGTGAGATTGCTCTCGACTGAGCCTCAAAGCTGCAACACTGTAAAGTGAATTGACTGTATATTTTATGGGCGAAATGTGGCAGCCAGTTGCGCACAGCAGCGTCCCGCAAGCAGTGGTGGATTGAATAACCATTATTAATATTATTATTTTTATCTACCATATGCAGAAATACAACAATTATTAATGTTTTATTTAATTATTTTACTTTCCTCTTTTCTGCCTACGGTCAACTTCCCCTGTCTCCACCAGGTCGGTGTCTAACTATGCTATTATTCAGCACTCCGAGACACTAGACCTTGTGAAGGCCGCAATATAAATTCAAGTTGTTGTTGTATGTAAGCTGTGTGAAAGGAACTGCGTAAATGCAAGTTATAGTCAACCTAAATACAACAACTTTTATACAGCGCACCTCATGCAGGTTAGAGGAAGAGTATTCCTGAGTTGAAAGAAAAAAACGTTCTTTATATTTGCCTCTTACCCGGGCTTCCAAATCAGAGATTCGATCATTGAGCGACCAAATTATTCTATCCTGTTTCGCCAATTCCATCTTTAACTGTTCAATCTGTGAGGAGCAACAAAGACAGACGGAAAAGACATTAAATTCATCCCTTGTTTAAGGGCAAGAAAAGACACCATCATTCCTAGGTCATCTGACGCAAAAAGAAATGTACTCAAGAGGAATTAAAATAAAATAATTGTAACCGAGAGATTTGGTCCAGCGCCTTTCACATCAGGAAAACATCTCAAAGCACTTCACAGGATTTACTGTACAATGTGTGTTTTTAGGTGAATGCAGCAACCAATTTCGCACACAGCAATGTCCCACAAACAGCTGTGAGGTAACTAACCAACTGATTTGCCACAGTCAAGGCTGACACTCCAATACAGTGCTGTTGTATTATCAGTGGTTCCATCCTTCAGGTAAGACCATCTGGGGTCCAGTCTGCCTGTTCGGGCGTACGTTACATATCCCATGGCAATACTTGAAAAAAAGGAGTTTCTCCTTGTGTCCTGGCCAAGAATAATCCAGATAAAATAAGTCATTCACTTTAGGGGTGTTTGTGAGACATTGTTACGTGCAAACTGGCTGCTGTGTTCATTTGTGAGACGTTGCTGTCCGCAATTGTGCTACTCCATTTCATAGTAATTTCTGTGAAACGCTTTGAGATGTTCTTCCGACGTGAGGAGGCGCGAGACCCAGTGCAAGGTTTATTATTATTATTATTATTATTATTATTATTATTATTATTATTCACTGTGGGGGCCTGTGATTCAATGCCTCCCCTCTCCCCCTGGTCTATTCTCACTTGACATCTCACCGTGTTGATCTCAGTGAAAAGGTTACGCTGTTGGTAGGAGACCATGTTGTCCAGGTGACTGATCTTCTCCTGTAGAATAGCTGTTTCCAAGAGAAGGTCCTGGGCTCTGTTAACAAACCAAACCAAGAATCGTCATCATAGCAAGGAACAACAACAACAAGTGCTCTGAGACGCCGGACGGCATCTCAGAGCGCTTAACAATGGTGTGGAGCCCAAGGCCTTGACAGTGGCGGAGCACAACTCCGAGCTGGGGGGGGGGGAGGGAGGAGGTGACCCGAGGCACGGTCGAAGAAGAAGGTCTTCATGCGCGACATGAAGATGGGGAAGGAGGGGACAAGGTGGAGGGATTGAGGGAGAGTGTTCCAGAGTTTCATTTGTGTAGTACCTTCCACATTGGGAGGACTTCTCAAACTCTGGATAGTCAGGGATTTGGGGGCTGGGATCAGGACGGCTGGAGGGCAGGGAGGGCAGGAGAAGGAGGGTGAGCGAAGATGTGATCAAAGAGTAAGGTCTTGAGACTGGGCATGAAGGAGGCAAGGGAGGGGGCGAGGCAGAGGGATTGTGGGATGGAGCTCCAGAGAGTGGGGGCAGAGAGGCTGAAGGCCTGACCGCCGATGTTGGGGTGGCCAGGGCAGGGGACATGAAGCAGGCCAGAGTCTGCCAAGTAGAGGGAGCGGACAGGTTGATATAGCAAGTCACAGAGGTAAGGAGGTGCAAAGTAATGAGGGCATTGAAAGCGAGGACGAAGAATTTAAACTCTATCCTCTGGGAGATGGGGAGCGAGTGGAGCCGGGCGGAGATAGGGGTGATACGTTAGAAGGAAGGGAAGTATCTGCCTAACTTGTCACAATATCCCATGTCGGGGACTTTGAACTCACTCAGTCTAGGCTGATACTGTAACCCAGTGCTGGGATGTACTCCAGCATCAGGAGTGCTGTCTAGCGGATGAGATATTAAACCTTTCTGGCCCTGTACCCCCTCCCCACCCTCAGATAACTCGCCCGATGGCTGTTTGTGGGTCATTTCTAAGTGCAAATTAGCCTACGAGTGTCACCCATAAAATATACAGTCTCTATAAAATATACAGTCTCTACACTTTACAGCATGTCCTGTGAAACGATTTGAAATAGACTCCGGATGTGAAAGCGCCATAGTAAATGTAAAGATTATTAATACTCTTTGCATTTGATGTAGTGCATTATCCATATCTTCCAGAAGTCTCAAAGTGCTTCACAGAATATATTATAAAGCGTAGAGACTGTATATTTTGTGGGTGGAATGTATTGTTATTATTAGTAGTAGTATTATAATACTAAGGACGGCAGAGTAACTGGATAGACAGCAGAGGTCAGAAATTCTCCTTAGTATTAGCCTAGTACACTCTGATCCTAGTGGTGTGAAGTGCCTGAAAGGGTGGCGGAAGCAGGTTGAATAATAACTTTCTGAAGAGAATTCGATAGATAATTGAAAAGAAAACCATCTGCAAGGCAATGGAGTAAGAGCGGGGGAAGTGGGACTAGTTGGGTATCTCTTTCAAAGAGCCAGCACAGGCATGATGGGCCGAATGGCCTCCTTCTGTGCTGTAAGATTCTAAGATTCTATGATTTTACAAGTGATCCAGGTTAACAGTGGACGTTCACAAATCTCCTACCTAGTTGGCTTGTATCGATTCCCCACAACATTAGTTTTTCTATTTTCCATCTCTTCCTCCACGGATTGTTTCCTCTCCGTTAGCTCATGCTTCTCCTACACAACAAAATAGATAATAGTCTTTTACTGTATTTCATCATTATTTTATAATAATCCTTGTCTTTAACAATAATAATGCTCGCATTTGATATGGCGCCTTATCAAGTCATTGAGACGTCTCAAAGCGCTTCACAGGATTTACTGTAAAGGGCAGTGATTGTATACATTGTAGGTAAAATTGGCAGCCAATTTGCGCGCAGCAACGTTCCACAAAAAGTCATAAAGCAATGGCCAATTTTAGTTGGAAGATTGTTGCCCAGGACACCAGGAGAAACTCCCTTCTCTTTTTGAATGGCGCCGAGGGACCTTTAACGTCCACCTGAACAGGCACAAGGCATGACCTAACCTCCGTTTAACATCGCTCAAGGTCAGAACTTGCAACAACAAAAACAAAAACCTTAATTGCAAACCAAAGCACTAATGGGTAGGGTGGTCCTCGCTGGACAAGCAGCAGGAAAGCTTGCTCTCAATGCGGTTTTAGCAGGTTAGACTCCAGCAGTTGTCCCAACACACCCTCTGGGTGCCCCCAAGCCTTGGCTCCTGCCAACCTGCACCTGATACTCTCCGGATTCAGCTGAGCGAGGGGCATCCCTTTGGAGAGAGAATGCCCGCTTCACTCCAGGCAAACAGAAATCATCACGTGTCGGGGGAACATTAGAAAATTTAGGAAAATTATCTGCCACGATTCCATGCCCTAACATCTACTTACCTTCTCCATTCGCTCTATCAACCTTTCCAGCTCCCCCATTCTGTGCTGCCTCTCCTGTAGCTGGGACATTGTCCTGTTTAAAGTCTCCATTTTCTGTTCCAGAGTTTGCTCTTGTTCCTCAGCGAAGGCCTGAAATGAAAGTAATAACAATAATAACAATAATAATAACAACAATAATAATAATAACAGTGATAATAATAACATTAACAGGATTTAGACTGATCCAAATCTCTCCTCCACCTCATCCCACCGATCATACAATCTGCCACCGACCTCCACCCCAGCATTGGTCACCCCCCCACCCACCACTCTCCCCCCTGCCCACCATTTCCCAATCACCCCCCTCCCACCCACTGACCACCTCCATTTGCCACAGCACCCACCACCTCCAATCGCTCCCCTCTGCCACTGGCCACCCCACCTTCCTCCCCACCGCTGCCCTTCCACCACCCGCTCATACACCGCGTCCCCCACACCCTCCCCACCCACTGACCAAACCGCAATTCTCACGCTGCCCACCACCTCCTATCCCCCCACCGACCCTCCCCCACTCCCCCACCCTCTCCCTTCGCCCAACCCGCTCCCCACCCCCGCTGACCTGTAGGTTGCTCCTCTCCTGGGCTTGCTGTTCCTCGAGCACCTCCATGCGGCTCTGAAATCTACGGGTGACTTCTTTGATGGCGGAGGCTCCGGCCTGCTGTGTGGCCTCCAGCTGTAGGCAGGAGGGAGGGAGGGAAGAGAGAGAGAGAGTAGAGGGAGGGAGGAGAGAGTTCACATAGTCAGACCGAGTTCCTGACTCAGTCACAGTGAGATATATCAGGTTTGTTCCCTCTGTGTCAGAAGCTTGTGGGTTGAAGCCCCAACGTCGGGTACTTTGAGCTCACAGCCTAGGCTGGCAACTCGAGTGCGATACTCGGGGGTGAACGCTACATTATTGGAGGCGCCGGCCTTCAGATGAGACGTTAAATCAAGCTCCACCTCTGTGCCTGTTCAGGTGGCTGTTCAATTGGAAACGAGAGGATGTTTCTCAATCCCCAAGATAAAACTGATCATTCATTTCTGCTGTGATCAACCGGGCAGCCATCAGAGCTGACAGCAACAGCCTGTGATGTGCTATGAGACCGTTTGACAGTCTATGACGAGGTGCCACAGGATCATTAACATCCACCCCAACAAGCGCGAATGGCACTTTGAATCCTGAAGGACGACAGCTGCAACAATCCAGCGCTTCCCCCCTCCCCTGGCAGTAAGCAGGTAAACAGGAGCATCGGCCTGGACTGTTAAATGTCGTTCCTTGTGTTCAATAATAATAATTACGTGTCAGCCAGCTCAGGGGTAGCGCTCTCGACTCTGAGTCAAAAAGTTGTGGGTTCAAGCCCCACGTTGGGACTTGGAATCACATCGTCTAAGCTGACATTCCAATACAGCGCTGGGGGAACGCTCCATTGTCGGAGGTGCCGTCCTTCGGATGAGACTTTAAACCGAGGTCCCATCTGCCTTTTCAAATGGATGTTAAAGATCCCACGGTGCTATACGAAAAGAGAACAACAACAACAATAAAATTACATTTTATAGCACCTTTCACGTCGGGAGGACGTCCCAAAGCGCTGGACAGACAGAGTTTCGGACCCGAGTTGGGGGGGAAGCAGGGGGATTAAAAGCAAGGTCGAAGAGAAGGGTCTTGAGGTGGGTCTTGAAGGTGGCAAGGGAAGGGGCAAGACAGAGGGACTGCGGGATGGAGATCCAGAGGGTGGGGCAGAGTGGCCCACCCGCCGATAGTGAAGCAAGCAAGGCGGGGGACGTGAAGCAGGCCGGAGCCCGCTGAGCGGAGGGGGCGAGCAGGGTGGTAGAGGGTTAGGAGGTCGGAGGAGAGCAAGGGCATGGAGGGTTTTGAAGGTGAGGACCAGGATCTTGAACTGTATCCTCTATGTGTTGCGAAGCCAGCGGAGTTGGGCGAGGATGGGGGTGATAGGGTCTCGGAGTCTAGTGCAGGAGAGGACACGGGCTGCAGAGTTCTGGATCATCTGCACCTATGGAGGGAGGAGTTGCGGAGGCCGACAAGCAATGAGTTTGCATAGTCGAGCCCTGGTGTAATGAAGGCGTGTATGAGGGTTTCGGCGGCCTGCGGTGTGAGACAGTGTTGGAGGTGGGGGAAAGCGGAGCAGGTCATAGTGCAGATGTGCGGTAGAAAGGATAGTTGAAGGTCAATCAAGACCCCGAGGTTCCGGACTGGCTTAGTGGGGTGGAGTGAAACCATGGATGGTGATGCTGTCAGCGCTTGAGGTGAGGAGGCGCTGACGGGAGCTAATTAGGAGAACCTCGGTCTTGTTGACGTTCAACTGAAGAAGGTTAGCTCTCATCCAGGACTTGATGTCTAACAGAAGGGGCTTTCTCTCTCCTGCTGTCCTGGCCAACAAACCCCCAAATAAAGTTAGTCACTCACTCCAAAGCTGTTTGTGGGATATTGCTGTATGCGATTATTATTATTCCCAGTCTTTTCATAATTTTCTTTACTTGCAAATATTGCAAATATTGATCAATAGATTAAATGTTAATTGCAAATATTCTTTGAGAGAACACAGTTTGCCCTGTAATGACTCTCATTCAATAAATCAGCTGAATAGTTTTTGACATCACACTGAAACATCCAGTGAAAAATCACATGGATTTTTCCTTTAAATGTAGATCACAATAATAATAATGATAATCCTTGCATTTGCTGTAGCGCCTTATCATGTCGTTGAGACGTTTTAAAGCGCTTCGCAGAATATACTGTAAAGTGAATTGACTGCTGTCTTTAACCCACAATCATTCTACTTTACAGTATATCCTTTGAGACGACTCAACCATGTGTTGAGACGTAAGGATGCAAACGCAAGGAATATTATTATTATAGTTTACTCAGCAGAAGAAAGGCTGACCTCTAGTGGACTCATGTATAATAATAAAAATAAATTGCCTTTGTTGTAGTGCTTTTAACATCGGGAGTACATCGCAAAGTGCTTCACAGGCCTATTTGTGCACAAGCAGTGTCCCGCAAACAGCCATGGGGTGAGGGGCCAGTTGTATCTGGATGATTGTTGGCCAAATGGAGAGTGAAACTCCCTTCTTTTATCGAATAGCGCAACAGGATCTTTAACATCCACCTGAACGGGTACAAACGGGACCTCGGTTTAACATCTCAGCTGAAGGACGGCACCTCTGATAATTCAGGGCTCCCCTCAACCCATGGACAATGAGTTCAAAGTTCTAACATGGGGCTTGAACCCACGACCATCTGACTCAGAGGAGAGGGTGATACCAACTGAGCCAGGCTGACATCTATGACAAGACTATGATCCGAAGCATCGTAAATAAGAGCTCCAAAATTAACCATTGCCACAATTAAACCCTGGCCATAGTTTTGAAAGGCCCCAAATTTACTCCAACTCATCTGAGCCGAGAAATATTGCGCACTTTGGGATGCAATTTGTTGTTGTTGGAAATTGCTGAGAGGGGGATGGGGGATGTGTATTAGATGTGCATTAGTGTGAAATATGTTGTATAGGCGAACTGATAAAACTTCAGGGGAGAGACCAAGACTGTGCCAACACGAGAACCTTTCTCATATAGACCCCAGCCCCTCTCGGCTGGTTTTCATCCATTATCCACCTCTGCTCGACTGGCTCCGACCTTCTGCTTGTCCCTCGTGACCTCAGTTCCACCATGAGTGGCCGTGCTTTCAGCCACCAAGTCCCCGAAACGCTGGAACACTCTTCTTCTATCCCTTCACCTTGCCCCCTTCCTTTGTGCCTAAAGATCTTCCTCTTCGACCATGCTTACGGTCACCTCCCCGTCCTCCTATCATGCTCTACCACTGTGGAGCGCTCTGAGATGCTATATAAACGCACGTCGTTGTTGTTGTTGTTACAGTGCTGCCACAATGGCTGAAACCTCATACCTTTAGTGACAGCTCTTGGTTTTCCGCCCGAACGGCATGAAGCCGAGTGTCCCGGGCCTCGACGTCAGCCAGGAGCTGCTGATGCTGGACGCCCAGCTTCGCCACGCTCTGCTCGGGATCGCTCTCCTCAGCCCCTTCCTGTGACAGACCCTGCAAGATAAGAAGCGGCAGAACGCAATAAACTCCGCAGCCCACCATCGCAACCCACCACCTCAATCCATCACTCCACTTACAAGCGCTCTGAGATGCTACCCCTGTGTAAGGGGCACTATATAAGTACACGTTATTAACTTGTTGTTGTCGTTGCAACCCACCACTGCAACCCACCACTGCATCTTGTCACCGTAACCCACCACTACAATGTATGCCACCGCAAACCTGGACCGGAGGCCTTTGCATTTGATATCGTTGAGACTCCTCAAAGCGCTTTACAGAACATATCTGTAGAGTGGAGTGACTGTGTAATTTGGGGTCTGAGAACGCCCCAAAATAACAAAGAACATTTGGGAGAGAGAAACTCCCTTCTCTTTTTCAATAGGGCCACGGGATGTTTAACATCCACCTGGACACACACAGGTGGAACCTCAGGTTAGCATCTCATCCAAAGGACAGCACCTCCAACAATGCAGTGCTGCCCCCAGCGCTGCACTGGAGTGTAAGCGTAGACTGTAAGCTCAAAGTCCCAGAGAGGGGCTTGAACCCACAATCTTCTAACGCAGCGATGAGAGTTAGGCTGACACACCCGCGAATGGCCTCTGTTCCTGCAATGTTGACCCAGTCAAGTGCCTCCTCAGACGCACCACAGAGGTGAGGCGCGAGTAGTCCATGACTTGTTCCCGATTGAACATAGCAACTAAAGTCAGCTTCTTTGCCGTCCTATTTACAAGTCAATGGCTTTTTAAAATGCATATTTTATGCCCCGTGTAAATATTTGATCAATCTGGCTTTAATTTTTCATTAGTTAGTAAAATGAGTGCCTCCCATTTCGGAGAATGGGCTGACGTTATGGCCTGTTGCTCAGTGCTCCACTTTCTGTTGTGTCTGGCTCTCAAAGGACGACAATAAGAACCTCTGATAGCCTCAGGGCACTGCTGTTCTCATCCTCTTTGTAACTGTGCCAGAGATACCATCAGTGTGGGAGGAAGGGTGGGGCTATGGGAGGGACAGCATTTCAAAGGGAACAACAAGTGGGATTTGGGAACTCAAGAGCTCCAGGATTTGAAGAGGGGTTGGGCTGGGAAAAGAGGAGGACTGTATAGAGGGTGATTGCAGTGGATAAATGTTATAAAGGGGTGTCTATCGGCGCTCCCAGGATTGTTAGGTTATTTATGTTGCTTCCCGCATGTGGAAAGGAATGTGCAGAAAGTAGTACTGATGTGACTTTCTCCTTAAACTGACTGCATCAGCGCTACTAACTCCGTGTGCGATGTGCAATGTTCAGGAGCTTCCTGTTCATAGCACACATAGTGACATCAGCGGCGCTTCCTGTGTATAGTGCCCATACGCGCGGTGTGCGCAAAGCGTGGTTAGCGGTGCTTCCCGTGTATACTTTCGCCCACAAAATACAGTCACTCTATTTTACAGAATATTCTGTGAAGTGCTTTGAGATGTGATAAACTGCATCAAATACAAGGATTATCATTATTATATGTACACGTGCAGGAAGTGACATTAGCAGTGTTTCCTGATCACAGTTTACGTTGCACATCCCAAAAGGAATGCGTTGATGAAACCCAACAGATGTCACACCCTTGTTTCTTTCACCGCAACCCACAACAACGTTTTTCCCCAAAATGTATTTGGTCTCTGGCTCACTGTCGTGAGACAGAGACCAAATCTATTTTGGACGAGATGCTACTCTGCGTATGAGTGCAAGTTGTCCCTGCACTTTCGATGTGAGCTTTGGAATCTATCTGTAAGTGGTTTTTGGCGTACTGTTGGGATTAGCACCAAACAATACACATTAGTCGGGAGCCACCCATTGGTGTTTAAACCTGTATAGCCTGTCCTGTAACTCTCCACTTTGTTTCACATGTTTCTCCTTGTGCTTAAGCAGTATCAGCATGAGCTAATTGCAACACTATCTCTCCAGCGGGTAATTAATGACCGGAACAAGTCACCAGGAAGGGTGGTGGGCGTTCATTTTTTTAAACAGAGTAGCTTGATACTGTGATGGGAGGATGGTAATGCTGGTGTTCTGGAAGGTTGGGATCAGATGGGTTGAAGGGGGCCTTCTTCATCCAAACTGATCGAATCCTCCGCTCCACCATCGGTGGCCGTGCCTTCAGCCACGATGCCCCGAAGCTATGGAACTCCCTCCCTCAACCCCTTCATCTTGCCTCCCTCTTTCCCCATCAATTCTATGCTGACTCTATTACGGAGCAATCCTTTCCATCCCATACCTGCCCTTTCCCCCCATACCCTTTTGACAAATTACATTTAATCAGTTCCTTTCACGCCAGAAAGATGTCCCAAGTTGCTATACAAATATATATTACTAACCTTGCATTTGTTATATAGCCCCTTATTACATCTTCGAGACATCTCAAAGCGCTTCACAAAATATATTGTGAGGTGAATTGACTGTATATTTTGTATGCTTTGCAGTGTCCCACAAACAGTCGAGTTGGTGGATTGAGTGACCGCATTTTTTTATCTTATAAAATGTATTTATCGATGTAAGTCATAGCAATCCTTTTTACGTATCTATCTAGTTCCAATTTAGACATCTATCTGATTCTGTTTTTACACATCTATCAATTTAACACCTTTTAGGTATTGATGTAGTTCCCTTCTATAAGCTAATATGAATTCTGCCTCAACCATTCTTCCCAGTTTTCATATCCAACTATTCTGTGTGAAAAAAATTCAACGCCCGCCTCAAGACATACCTCTTTGACCGCGCTTTCGGTCATCTTTCTCTTTCCCACCCTATCCGGCCCTCACCCTCCCAGCTTGGGTGTCCAGCCAATAGAGTCAATCACTTTGAGAACTCCTCTGGTCTTGAAAGGCGCTGAATAAACCTAAAATTGATGTGTATTCACAAAGCCACGCGTCCCTCGACCCCTCCGCTCCACCATTGGCGGTCGTGCTTTCAGCTAACTGTGCCCCAAATGTCTGGTACTCCCTGCCTCGATCCCTCCATCTTGCTCCCTCAGATCTCACCTGAAGACTTTTCTCTTCGACCGTGCTTATGGTACTCTCCCTTTTCTCCCCACTCGGCATCAGGCTCCACGTGTTAAGTGCTCTGAGACACCAGAAGGGCGCTGTACAAATGGTTTAAGGTCTCATCCGAAGATCGGCACTCCCAACAATTCAACACACTCCAGTACTGCACTGGAGTATCAGCTTATCTAATTCCTAGATAATATTGATCATTCTACCCCCCATCCCTTTGGAACTCCATCCCACAGTCCCTTCGATCACTCACTCCCTTGCCTCCTTTAAGTCTCGTCTCAAGACCCTTCTCTTTGACCGCATCTTCGGTCACCCTCCAACCCCTGCCTGCCCTCCACCATCCCTGATCCAGCCTCCTGCTCGGGTCCAAATACCTGACTGTTTAGTGCCTTGGAACATTCTCCCAACGTGAAAGACGCTATACACACGTAATTTGTATTGTATCATTCACTTCACAGCTGTGCGTGGGAATTGCTGTGTGCAAATGGGCTGCTACATTTGTGATTCTAAGCAGTGATGTGGGGTTTGAACCCACAACCTTCTAACACAGCTGTTGTGTACCTTTGTATCTTGCCCCTGTTGGCTGTTGACTCCATCATTCTTCCCAAACATCCGCATCCGTAATGTTTGTAACGTGACTCGCATCTGAACCGGCAGAAAGGGAAGAGTGGAATAAAGGACAATAACAACCGGAGCCATAACAAATAACAAATTCTCACTGTGCTTAGCCTACAAGATCCTTTTCTCCTTAAGATTGAACATCGCAAGTAATTTAGTGTATCCAGTAATTTTCACTCCTCCCGCCCAAATTAATTGCTCTTTTTTCTTCCATTTCCCTCCCCACCGAATGGATCGTTTATCAAACGTCCAGCGCAGGTATAATGGTCTGACACACTAGGGGAACCCATCACAGTGCTTAAGAGTATCCAAACCAAACTGAGAATCCATGCTTCCCGCCTACACATGGAAATTGCAGAGATATTCACTGGAATGGAATGTGCACTCTTGCTCCCTGGAGGGATGCATTCTGCTTACCTAATTCTGGAAAATATTAGGTGCAGATTGGCAAGAGCCAAGACTTAGAGTGTGCGTTGGGTTAACTGCTGGAGTCTAACCAGCTAAAACAGCATAGCTTGCCATTGATATCACTGTCTGGCAAGCTTTCCCGCTGCTTGTCCAGTTAGGACCACCCTACCTGTTAGGCCTTTGGCTTGCAAGATTAACAGGAGCTGAGTGGGAGGATTCCTGCCCCTAGTGACTGGTCTGCCCTTCCGGGACCTGCTGTTGAGCTGGACTGGCTGTGTTGTCATCAGCAGTGCCCTGGATGAATTTTCTGAGGTTTTTATCTTACCTTTTTGATGTATTCCGTCTCGTCCCTGATCTGCTTAGTGCATTGGAGGCTGATGTCTTTTGTTCCACCCCCGGGGCCTTGGATAACCAAGGGATTGGGTTCCTTACAGTGCATCATGAAAGCTAATCCAGTGCTCCAGGCACTATCCTGCGTGGGGGCACTATGTAAACACAAGTTGTTGTTGTGGTCGCCTCCTGTTTTCCAAGATAAATTAAAAAAATCTTTAACATCAGATATTTCTTCAGTTATGTATCCTGTGTTTGTTCAGGTTCACATCAGAATAATGATCTTTGCATTTGATGTAGAGCCTTATCACCTTGAGACGTCTCAAAGCGCTTCACAGAATATACTGTAAAGTGAATTGACTCTATTTTGTGGGCGAAAATGTGGCAGCCAATTGCACACAGCAGCGTCCCACAAATCGTTGTGGATTGAGTGGCCAAATTATTTTTGGGGGAATGGAGGAGGGATTAACTCTTCACCTCACCCATCCCATCCCTCCGTCTCACCCCCTGAATTCGTTTGTTTTTAACTCAGAAGATTGAGTCACTATGCCCCTAACCAGAGTGCCGGACAGTGGCAGGGCATGACACCGAGCTGGGGGGAATTGACCGTTGAAGGTCTTCAGGCACGACCTGAAGATAGTGAAGGAAGGGGGCAAAGCGGAGGAATCGAGGAAACTGTTCCAGAGTTTCAGGCCATAGTGGCTGGAAGAGCAGCCACCGATGGTAGAAAGGATGGGACAAGGGACAAGCAGGAGGCCAGAGCTAGCCGAGCAGAGGCAATGGATAGTGGGTTGGGGAGTAAGCAGGTTGGAGAGGCAAGGAAGTGCAAGGGCATGAAGGAATTTGAAGACGAGTGTGAGGATCTTGAAATTGATCCCTCCATCCACTCATCTCACACCCTCTATCTCTCCTTTTCATCCCCTTTCTATCCGTCTTTAACTCCCCCACGCCCTCCTCCCTTGCTTGCCACACGCCCCCACCACTGTAAAGCTCTTTGAGACGCAACCCTACATGAAGAGTGATGTGGAGATATGCAAGTTGCTGTCATCATCCTTACAATGTGAAAGGACTCTCAACAACAACGACAATGACTTGTCTTTGGCTGGCGCTGAGAGGGTTAAACGGTTAAGGGAGCCTGACAGAGATCCTCGGGATCACGAAGGGTTACCAGACAGGTTAAAGGGTTACAGATAATTCCCACTGGTCGGTCAGTTGGGCACAAATCAAGGGTAAAGGTAAGTACACAGGTTATTATGCAGATTTTTACAGGGAGATGATGATAAAATATCTCAGTTCAGAGGGTGGGTGGAACGTGGATTTCCTGGCCATAAATCAATATCAATGGAAGAGTCCATAGGTTTGCTTAAAGGGAATTCAATAGACGCTGATGAGGAAGAATATTAAAGGAAGGAGAGAGAAAGAGAGATACTACACGGAAACATAGGAATAGGAATTTACATAGGAACATTCAGCCCATCTGTTTCGCCATTCTATTCTATCCATTCTGTTCCCCTGTTCCGCCACTCTATTTGATCATGGCTGATCTGTACCTCAACTCCATTTACCCACCTTTCCCCCAATATACCTTGATACCCTGACCTAACAAATAGCTATCCGAGCTGATCAGCAGGATCTGGAAGGGCAGCCAGTCACTGGGGCAGGGAAATCTCCCATTCAGTTCCTGTTAACCCTGAAAGCCGAAGCCCTAACAGGTAGTAGGGTGGTTCTCGCTGGACAAGAAGGGGGACAGCTTGCCAGACAGTGATATCAAGGAAAACTATGTGGTTTGAGCTGGTTAATTTCCAGCAGTTGCCCCAATGCAAACTCTGGGGTCCCTATGCGTAGCTCTTGCCAACATACACCTAATCCTCTCTGGGATAGGGTAAACAGATGGATGTGAAACATCTTTAGGAAAATAAAGGTGATTAAATCATCTGCGGGCAAGTGTGGAGTCAGAGCAGATCAGAGTCTAAACACAATTATGGAGAAGAGATAAGAGTTATAGCTGATGGACCGCTTACCTTATTTGCCCGAGGAGGGGAAGGGGAGGAGGTGTTAGACTTTGAAACGTTGCAGGTCTGAACTCTCGCCACTCTTGAAAGCTTTGAACAGAGTTACCCGAAGGAATGTCTCCGAACCAACGAAAAGATCAGCTCCCAAAAGTTTCATTCAATCCTTTCAGTTGATGATGAGGACAATGGCAGCAACGCACACACACACGTAATGTGTAAAGTGACACTCCGCATAAACCCGGCAGCCTGGCTCCCCCACTTCCTTGTTGACGTTATGCCATCGACTGATCCTGACTTAACTCTGTTGAAGGCAGACTATAGTTGGTTTGTCTCCTGCATCCACAGAGGCAGAGCAGGAAATATCAACCTGCTTTGCTGAGCACATCAATGTCTCCACTGTAGGTCCCTGAGCAGGTTGTGTAACATGTTTTGTCACTCCCACAAGGCTAAGGTGATAAGCAAAACAGCGCTGTGGGAGGGAGAGGTTACGAACCTTTTTATGAGCACTTACCCAGAGCATTTGTCAGGGCGTAGGTTGCTTCAAGTGGGCAGAACCTGTTTCCGTTTTCAATTGAGAATTATAGAGGCATGTCGGAAGTGGGGAAAGATATGCGGAACAAAGGCAGAAGAATGGGGAGCTTGTTCAAAGACAGACGCAGGCACAATCGGGGTGGGGGGTGGTTGGGGGGCAGAGAATTCCCCTGTTATTTCCTGCATTGTGTGTATCAAAGTACAATAATAATAATAATCCTTGCATTTGATATATCCCCTTATCCCGTCTTCGAGACGTCTCAAAGCGCTTCACAGAATATACTGTAAAGAGAATTGACTGTGTATTTGTGGGCGAAACGCGGCAGCCAATTGCGCACAGCAGCGTCCCACAAACAGTCGTGGATTCAGTGACCAAATTATTTATCTTTGAAGGATTATTTCCCCCGGTAAGCAATCTGCCAATCGACGAACAATGAAGTGTAGTAACTGTGTGTTTTGTAGGCGAACTCGGCAGCTATGGCAAAGCAGAATAATAACCCAGATGCCAGCGATGGTGAGCGAATGTGTTGACGGCTCAGTTACTCGGGCTGGCTCGGGCTTTCTGCGCTCCATCATCGGGCGCCGCGCCTCCAGTCACTATTCCTCAAATCTCTGGAACTCTCTGTCTCAATTCCCCCCCCCACCCAATACCCATCTTTGCATCGCACCTGACGACTTTCCTCTTTGTGGTTACAGACACCTTCCCCCTCACCCCGGTCTCAGCCTCAAGCGCTTTGGGATGTGAAAGGTGCTCTACAAATGTAATTTGCTGTTGCTGTTGTCAAACTCCGCCACTGTTAAGCGCTTTGAGATCCTACGCAGCGTGACGAGCACTGTATAAATGCAAGTTGTTGTCGTTGCTGTGATCACTACCTGTTGTTACTGTGAACCATAAAATCCCAGGGGGCAGACTCCAATACCGTGTCCAATGTCACAATGTGCTCACGGTCAAATGAGATCCCTTATCACACAGCACAAAGTTCAGTTCACAGATTGCTAAAGCATACAAATAGATTCACATTCCCCCCATCGTGTCTGCGCTGGGGCTCGCTCCCCCACTGGAGCTCTCTACTCTAATCCTATTTGCTGAGCTCGGAGAACGCTGCATTATCAGAGGCGCCATCCGTCCTTTGGATGAGACGTTAAAGCTGAGGCCCTTCAGGTTAAAGATCGCCCGACACCATTGGAAAAACCAAAGGGAGTTTCTCCTGGTGTCCTGGCTGACAAATCCTCCAGATACATAGAGTTAGTCATTCATTTCATAGCTAGACATTGCTACATGCAAAATAGCTGCTGAGTTGGCCTACAAAATTCAGTGTTTACATGCCCACAAAATACAAAGTTAATTCACTTTAAAGTATATTCTGTGAAGAGCTTTGAGAAGACTCAATGATGTAATAAGGTGCTGTATAATATGCAAGGATTATTATTATTATCTGTAAAGTGCCATGAGGTATTTTTGTGACTGGGTAGGTGTTGTATCAAAGTATTATTCTAGGAAAGTAGGTGTAATTAGGTGTAGAGTGCTCATTGCTGGTTACCTGGGGTCATTAGGGAGTGTCCTCCTGTAATGTGCCACTCTGAGTGTGAAGTGCAGGCTGCAACTTGATCCCATAATTCGTCACCTGAACTATTATAATAATCCTTTTAACCGGTAAAGTGAATTGACTGTATATTTTGTGGGCGAAACGCAGCAGCCAATTGCGCACAGTCGTCTCGGATTGAGTGACCAATTTTTTTTACCTCTTGATGGAATATTGCCTCGAAAAGTGATCCGCCAATCGACTAACAACTGGGTTCCTACTTACTGCCAGGTAAACAGAGGGGTGGAGTAAGGAATCCCGGGATTCGAACCCGAGTCGTCGTTTGCGAGGAGAACACGCTAACCACTACACTACGTGACTCTACAACAATTGGACTCAACTATTGGAATCAATCACAAACCCTCATGTCAACACACCACTACCCTTACCCCACAAAAATATATGTTTTTCCCACAAAATATACAGTCAATCCACTTTTCAGTATATTCTGTGAAGCGCTTTGAGATGTCTCGAAGATGTGATAAGGCGCTGTATCAAATGCAAGGATTATCATTAGGGAAAGAGACCAAACACACTCACACGGACACTCACAAACAACAAAAACTTGCACCTATATAGCATCCTCCACTCAGAGCACTTAACTGTAGCTGCACCTGACTCTGAGCCAGGGGTGGGGAGGGAGTGGGAGGTGGCCATATGCACGGTAGAAGAGGAAGATTTTCAGGCGGGACTTGAAAGAGGGGAGGGGGCAAGGCGGAGGGATTGAGGTAGAGTGTTACAGCATTTGGGGCATAGTGGCTGAAAGCACAACCTCCGATGGTGGGGCGGAGGATGCGAGGGACGAGCAGGAGGCCGGTGCCAGTCGAGCGGAGCAGCCGGGTGGTGGATTGGGGAGTGAGGAGGTCGGAGAGGTAGGGAGGTGCCGGGGAGTGAAGGGATTTGAACGCGAGTGTGAGAATCTTGAAGTTAATCTGCTCAGTAATGGGGAGCCAGTGGAGCCTGGGCCAGAACTGGTGAGATGTGGGAAGGGGGTTTGGTCTGGGTCAGTAACACATCCAGAGGAGAGAGACACACTCACACAGAGACAAACAGAAAGAGAGATAGACACTCACAAACACACATAGAGATATCATGCAGAGACAACAACAACAACAATTTGTAAAGCGCCTTTCACATCGGGAGGACATCCCAAGGTGCTGGGACAAACAACAACAACAACAACAACAAGATTGCATTTATAGAACACCTTTCACGTCGGGAGGACGTCCCAAGGTGCTGGACACATAGAGAGACACTCACATAGAGATACTCACAGAGAGAGAGACAAACTCTTACCCCCCCCCACCCGGCAGCTCAATGTGTATACAGAGACCATCCCCAACCCCAACCCCCGCCCCACCCGCACAGCTCACTGGGTGTTCAGAGGCACGAAGACAGAAACATCATTTATAGTGGGTTTGTTGTGGGGGTTGTTTATAGTGGTTTCCGTGGGAAAATTGGGAGAAAATTTTGTCCGAATGGCAGGGAGTTGGGTTCTGGGGGACGAGCAGAATGAGACCAGTTTATTCTTTTTAGCTCAGTTTTAATAAAGGACCTGAGAACAGAGAAACCAAAGACACTCAGCAAATCATGCTTTGAAAATTCTTTTACTTAATAAGAAATGTACAGTCTGTTAGTTCAATTATCACAAATACAACAGACAGGTCAATAGCATAGACAAATATCTGTATCAAAGTCAGTTGGTAAATTCACAAACAGCAGGAAAATGTCTTGCATCAATGAAAGGTCTCTTGATTCAGACCCGAAACCTCTTGCTTGGGTTTTTTTAATTACAAAGTCAAAGTTGAATCTTCAATGGTTTACAGCTGAGCTGTGTAATTTTGTTATACGTTATTATCCTTCTCCTCCTGTTACTTTTCAAACGATTTCAGACGTTCTGGGATTTCTGCAGTTTTCCTTCTTCCTGAAATCGCTGATGAATGAAAGTTAATGAAACGATGGAACAGTCCAAATCTGATGGATTTTAACCTTGAAGACAACACACTTAGTTCATATCATCACATGAAAGATGGTTCTTGTGTGGACAGCACCTAATATGCTATGTCCTAGGCTGAACAAAGTATAATTCAACCATATATCTTTTATGATCAATTTTCCACAGGCAGGATGAGAATATTTCCATTCTCATGTGCATGAACCAATTAGCTTACATAAATAATAAAATATAATCCGCAGAATTGTTATTGTCATAGAAGAACATGAATTGTTATAAAAGTTGAATCGTTATAGAAAACATCTTCAACACAAACATGGATTTGTTATGGGAAAACTTCTTCAACTACCTCATCGTTAATACAACACTTAATTAAAACATTAATTTGTTTCTGGAAAACATCTTCAACAACCATCAGCTACGATAAACAAGTCTTGGTTTTTCCTAGCCACATCATCATTTTTAACCATTAATCAAAATAGTGTTTATCCAACCTAAGCATTTCTGACCATTAATTAAAATAATTGCCAACTACATGGGTTCAACATATATTCATAATTTCCGTCATGAAACAGGATTGCAACATTTCCCCCCCTTGAATTCGAGGATATTTTTAAACAGTCTCACATTCACTATAAAACCGCTTTATTAATATTGAAATTGTTTTTCATACGGTTAAAGCAAAGCACTGTCTGAACATGGGATTCGATCCACAATAATGCTAGTTCATTTTAAAAGGCCAGGATCATTCCCTTTTAAGGGTTTTATTTGACCCCCACCTTGAATTTGACCACTAAAAACTTCCTCTACTCCTGTACTATGACCTCTACCATAAGGTCTCTGTCTGAATTCAAATGGATCACTATCACGGTCATTAACTTCTGAGGCCCAACAATTATCCCTATTTTCAAAATCTTGAAATTGTCCCCATGATTCCCAGTTTCTCCCCGTTATTAAAATCTCAAAAATTATTCCCAGTTGTCAGTCTGTGGAGAGAGAGGTTCTTCCACTTGAGGTCCCTCATTAAGTTGCCGAGCAAAATTTAACTCCTTCGTCGTCTGATTTACAGAGAGAAAAGTCACAGCGTCATGTTGTTGGTTTACCCCCTTAAAATGTTTTCTCTCTTGTTTAATCTTAATGCTTTTGAATGCTCTGATAGCACCTGTTAATATATTTTCCAATGGATCAGTAGAGGTGACACAATCATATCTATTTTACTTTTGATAGGGGTGCTTAAACTACTTTAAAATAAACCCTTAAAATGAGGATCCAGAGGCGTACACGTGAGTGAATCTCTCCAAAAAACATTGTTAATTAAACTCCTGTCTGGTCTGTACAGCTAGAGCAGTACTGTTAATGCCTGGATAATAAAGCTTCTGCAATTCCGCAACCAATTCTTTATAATTAGAATCACCAGAGAGTACTCCAACAGGTAATTGATGCCAAAGGGTT